AGTGTGGACCTTGGATCGACTACGTCAGTTCCTCGTAGGAATCAAGTTTACAGTGGTTACAGATTGCCAAGCACTGGTCTACATGAACGCGAAGAAGACTACAAATCCTCAGATAGCGCGATGGTACAATCTGATTCAGGAATACGATTTCGAAATTCGACATAAACCAGGGGAGAAGATGGCCTACGTAGACGGAATGAGTAGAGCTCCAGTCGACGACCCTAGAGACACGATGGAGGAAATCGTGGAGAAAAACCTTGAAGTGTGCCTCACAATCACACTGGAAGAACAAATCTTGATGATTCAGCATTCCGACCCTGAATTGAGAGACCTGATCCAGATCTTTCGAAAGGACCCGTGTGATAGGACAGTAGGAGAACAAAATAGAATTAACGACTACAGCTACAGAAGAAAGTCCGGACGAGGAGCCAGAAGTAGAAGATACCCCCCGACGCAACCCACGACGTTCCTGCAACGCAAGGTTCAATCGAGGACGATTGAAATCCAGGAATGGCCGAATGTAGGCGCCATCCCGACCAGAGAGCCACAGATAAACAGATTATAAACGCACAGAATATAGAATCCGAGCTCCCCAGTAGAAGGAATACCCGGAAGACGACGGTACTCACTGTTATATGTGTTGTTCATTATTATGATTTTGTTCTAATAAACACTACTAAATTATTTCATTGGATCCTCTCTTTCTTTTTCCCAGTAAGAAACGCCTACGGAAGCCAACAATATGTATATAAGATATGATTGCGAAAGATATGATTGTGAAAGATATGAAGTGAAAGATATGATTGTGAAAGATATGATTGTGAAAGATATGATTGTGAAAGATATGATTGTGAAAGATTTGATTGTGAAAGATATGATTGTGAAAGATATGAAGTGAAAGATATGATTGTGAAAGATATGATTGTGAAAGATATGAAGTGAAAGATATGATTGTGAAAGATATGATTGTGAAAGATATGATTGTGAAAGATATGATTGTGAAAGATATGAAGTGAAGGATATGATTGTGAAAGATATGAAGTGAAAGAGATAACAAGACTTAACATGATTTTATTGTGTCTGCTCTGTAAAACACACATGGACAAAATCGCATTTTAATTTAAATAAATTATAATTTAATGTAATCACAACTGATTATCAAGCTTTTATGTTCCACTAAATATTTACCTCTTCCCTTTTTAAAAAAAGATGTTTCAAAATCCATTTTATTAATTAAATTTTCATTTAATATTTTAGTCATTAATTATAAATTTACAAACTCACAAATATATATATTTATATATACATTTATTATAATAAAAATACATAATCAAGTGTACTTCGCAAATTTTATAATTAAATCATATTTATTGATATATTTATTATTCATTATATTTATTATTTATAATTTATTAATGCTAATCAAAATGTATTTCAAATATTCACCCACGCTGTTATTTAGATGCCAAATATTACTGTGTTGGAACAATGTGCAAAGCAGGTCTGATGGCCAGGAGTCCAGTCGTGTGTAAAAGCTTTTTACAAATTTTCATTTAGAAATGTTTATGCACTAGAAGAAACGCCTGTGGAAGATTTTTTCAACTCGAAAACTTGCGAATATTAGTAAATTGGTGAATAAACCTTTTTGCCTTAAATATTTTCTTCCTTTTTTTTCAAACTCGATGAAATATAATATTTATGTATATATATGTACCAAATTATATGTACCAAAAGTATAACCTCTCCCTTTAAAAATATATTTGTTGTTGTGTCCAATGAAGTGCCTCAGATGTCCCCATGCATATCTATCACAGCAGTCGTTCTCTATCTTGGGTGTGTAAAGTTCTGGGTCCATGTCAATGAGGCCATTGCTGGACATGAGAATATGTGGGTAGTTCCACACCAGGACAGAATTGTATTACATACTTAACACAATTTTCTAAACTAAATATTAGCGTGCCATACATATGTAAATAAGAAATTATCAATAATTTGGTACTAATATCCTTTCTCATAGAAACTCGATTACCTACTCTTCTTACTGCAATTAGGAAAATGGAGGGCCTGGCTCATCAGTTAAGAACCCTCCCAGCGGTTTCACCAGTTTAATATAATAATCTACTGTTGTTTATTAGTCTGTTCTACTTTATAGTTAATGATTTAGAAGAATTATTGGTGTGAGGGCTTGGTGTATGGAGAATAAAGACAACTATTGCTTTGTTCCTTTCTCCGTAAAACAAAAATTCAAAATTCTGTGAGACATAAATTAACTCTAAGATGTATCAAACCTACAATCATCTTAATATGTTTCTCATTACACTACAGTCACACAGTAGAAAGTCAATCTTATTTAACCTATATCTCTTATTTTATAGAATATCTCCCCAAACTAATTACTTTTGTGCATCTAAGTATATAAATATCCAACTATATTTTGATTTATATTTTAAATGAAAAAATGTAGATAATAATTTTATTAAACTCACACAAAATAGAATTTACTGACCGCTCACATGATCATTTTAAATGGCAGAGGGCCATCTAGTGGAAAAAATAACCTAAACGTTAATTTAACTTGTTTCCTTATATTCAGCCAACCCATTTTATTGATATATCACCAAAAGTCAACCATGAACGCGTTTCGGGCTGTTGGTCTTTGTCAGCGTGATGCAGGCCTTACCTCAACAACAATAAATTTGGTCCAAGAATATTCCTGAGAAATCAAGAAATGGATATTTAAGACCAAATTTGTGTAAATACCCTGTTCATGTGAAAAAAATAGAATTTTTTCATTTTTTCACATTATAATACAATAAAATATAATGCGGCATGTGTTTGTAAAACGACATTTGAAAATTATCCCGCATGAGTTTCTTTTTCAACGAAAAATCAAAATTTATTTTGAGAAGAAATAACGATTATTTCTAACCTTAGGGATGAGGTATGAATGGATGAGTTGTGAAGAGTAATGATGAACGGAAAAATAAAAGTGTCCCGGGATGGGAATCGAACCCACAGTGTTCCGTTTACCGGGCAGATGCCATGTCCACTAGGCCATCCCTGGACACTTTTATTTTTCCGTTCATCATTACTCTTCACAATTCATCCCTACATACCTCATCCCTAAGGTTAGAAATAATCGTTATTTCTCCTTAAAATAAATTTTGATTTTTCGTTGAAAAAGAAACTCATGCGGGATAATTTTCAAATGTCGTTTTACAATTTTCACATTATAATGATTAATAAAAAGAAGGAAGAGAAAATATTATACTCCTGATAAATATATTGTACCTCTGATACAATAAACACAATAATAATAGAAAATATTGTTTAAATTGGCGCTGTTCATTTTAAAGACAATGAAAGAGAGCCTGAATTTGTATTTCCTTGTAAAAATAATGGCTATGTAAATAATGTCAACAAATTTGCATATATTCTACTTTGCATATATTCCCCAGACATTTGAACTGGGAAGTCTGTCTACATCTATAGGATCATTTCCTTCCACGTCATCCCCATTTTTTTAAATATTATTTTTAATCTATAACTTTTTTTATCCCCCTCTAAAATATTGATTAGGAGTTTTTCAGGTCTTCCTCAAACGTTAATTAGCATATCCTCTATAGCTATTAGATACTCGTTCGGCTTACTTGAATTAATTAATGTATATGGGGTATATGTAAATATATGTTTGGTAAAGGGGCGTAAGTTAAGGTGGAATATTGTCATGTATATATATATATTGTTTTTTGAAGATTGAGTAATCCATAATTAAAATTATATTTTAAAAAGATATATATATTGGATTTATAAGTATTTTATTGTTCCAATATTTCGAGGGGCCTCTCTTTGCTAAACATCCTCGATAAAGAGAGGCGAGTTGCCCCTCGAAATATTGGAACAATAAAATAATTATAAATCTAATATATGCATTTTTTAAAACTATATATATTTTTTAATTAAAAAGGCATTTATTGGATCAAAATATCATTTATTTTACCATTATTTCAGTTGGCTGAACGCCAACCTTTATCAAGGTGTTATAACATAACATTAATATGTTATAATACCTTGATAAATGTTGGCGTTCAGCCAACTGAAATATTGGTAAAATAAATGATTTTTGATCCAATAAATGCCTTTTTAATTAAAGATTTATTTATGGATTGCTCTATTTTCAATATATATATATATATATATATATATATATATATATATATATATATATATGCAAGAAATGAAACCATTAAAACACAACATTTTCTCTCTCTAAAAATTAAAAATCTACAATTTAAGTAAATTAATTAAGAAAGTAAAAAAGATCCAACTTGTACACATGTCAGTTCTTATTTCACTTAAGAATGGGGAACTGAGGGCTCTTAATGTAACAAAGCTCATTGGACACGTTTTGAATTATCCCACCCAAAATAAATAAAAAATATATAACAGATTTAATCTTCAATATTTATACACTAAATCTCCCTGTATGGAAATAATAATTTATTTTACATATTTACCATATATTTATTCAAATAAATAATTTTATTTTCCTAAACAAGTAATTTTTTTACCAAGTTTTTAAAAATACATGTATATTATTGATAGTTTTCATCTATAGAGATTCAGTAATAAATCTTTAGTTCTCTGTAAAAGGATAATTTCACTTTTCTACTGGACGGCGCTACATGCATCTTTTATTATTAATAATAATATCAATTATTATGTAAAATAAACGTCTGTATTTGTTTATATGTATTTACATATTCATTTACATGTCCATAGTTTATTCTCTCGTTGATTGGTTATCTATTACTAGACGAAAATGGCCCGGGCAACGCCCGGGTTTTACCCGAGTGCGTATATATTTTAAAAATGTTTTAATTAAAATACTATTCGTTACAATTATAAATTGGCGCCGTGGATGTCTCTCTTGTGAAACGTCCCGCCCCAAACTGTGTGTGTCTTGAAAATATAAAAAAAAAAATGTGAACGAAAAATATGTCCAGGGTAGCCTAGTGGTCATGGCATCTGCCCGGTAAGCGGAAGGTCGTGGGTTCCATTCCCATCCCTTGACACTTTTTTTTTATTTTATCCATTCTGACCAAAATCTATCCGTGAACTTCACACAGTGAACTTCAAACAGACAGAATAAGGCAATTATATAAGTAGATTACGTGAATTCAATCAGCCAATCAGGCGTGCATTATTTTTCTGATATTATAAATATTCTAAATACACAATATTCTATATACACTCATGGACAAAACTTAAGAAAGCGAAAAGTTTTTGATATCGCCGGTCGTCTGTTTTTTTTTTGTTTTTAAGGAGACAGAGGTAATTTTGTTCACATTTGGTTATCTCGCGTGTCTTCAATAAAGGTAATTTTGTGCACTTTGCATAAGGATCATGAACAAAATGTACTCTATTAGCATCTAAATATCTTTCTCCGGAAAAAAATTGAAATATATGTCATAATTTGTACATAAGTGGATGTAACCCCACCACAATATGTATGCAATGTATGATCTAAAGATTTTAATAAAAGCTAGGCTTAGCGAATCTGGGAGAAAGGCCATCAGAGAATAAACGATCATTAGCAGGTTTTCATTATCCAGGAAGCAAAAGTTATTACCCAGGAACTCATAAAACTGAGTTCAAGAACCTCTTCTTCCGGGAGCATGTTATAACAAGACAAAGACAAAGGAATAGCTAAGATCCAATCAGAGTTAAGCAGGACTAGCTAAGAGCCAATGAGAGACGGCCACGAGTCGACAGTCATCCAATGAGAACATTGAAGAGTTAACGAGTTAAATCTCGGACTCAGGTTAATCAGTAGGGACCTCGGCACCATCGCAACAAGTTAGCATCTGGACCTGCCAAGGAACAAGTTAGGAGCTCGCCACCATCTTTTTCAGCACCCAGATAAGTCCCATGTTCAATATGTGAACAGCCATAGCCAATTAATCAAAAACGCCCATAGTCTAAACCCCTTTCTCTCCCTTGATCGCTGGCCTATTTTCTCAATCCAATCCTGTGTCCTCGTTATTTTTCCCCTGTGAGAAAACCTTACTAATTCAGCCAAAAACGACTGCGCCCACACCAACCACCAAGTAAGTCAACAAGGTCTACTTACTACAACAATCATCAATCAATCAATCAAATAATCACCCAAAAAGCCCCAAATGTTACATATATATCTTTTTAAAATATAACAAAATAATTGTCCTAAATAAAAAAAGACATATATATTACAAAAAATAAATTTTGTTGATTTTGGAAAATTATTAAAATATATATAATTATTACTTGCTGATGCTTGGTTATATTTTGGATACATGAGTATTTTATGATATTGTTTTGTGGTATTTTATGATATTGTTTTGTGGTATTTTATGATATTGTTTTGTAGTATTTTATGATATTGTTTCGTAGTATTTTATGATATTACAGTCGTGGTAATAATTAATAATAACAATTTGAATTACAATTAGCTTTAATTGTGCTGATAGACTTAACTAAGAAGGAAATACCTGATTTGAGGCGTAAAGAGGAGAAAATAAAAGATTAGGTATTTACATATGTACAAAAAGGTTTGTATAGGGAAAGCGGTGATGTCTGGCGGTCGATTTAAACAGAGTAATTTGTTCTAGAATTTATAATTTTAAAATAAAATATAATTTTATATAACATATATAGTTTTCATTTGTGCCGATAGATGACGGTAGTAAACTATGTTGTATGGACAGATGGTATGTAGTCAAATATAAAACTAAATATATAGAGTCAGTTGTGTTAACAATGATAATAGCCCGAAATTTCTACGACGCACCCTACTGGCGTAACAATAATTCAGTTATTTGCCAACACAAAAGAATTCCAAAAAAACTATGCAAATCATTAATTCTCGCCTGAAGACAAATTAGTTTCTCATTTCCAGTAAATTTTAATGAGATTGGAAGTTTTTTTTTATATTTCTTTCCATCTCATTTCTCAACAACAACAGTAAAAAAAAGTCGTCTTAAATGTTGAGAGAAGAATAACATTTTTACACATTTTCCACAATCAGATAGCGCGGGAGAGTAAATAAATAAAAATATTTTTTCTATATTCGCCGGAACCTAATTTGCATATCGACTGGGGGTGTAGAAATTCAAATGTAATCAGTAACTTAGCGTTATTTATTACCTCACGCTTTTGTTTTGAACTCTCTCTTCTTCCGTCTCATTAACTATTCAAATTTGGCGTCTGCCAGAATTTGTTTGGTTTGGTTACACGGAACTAACTTATCTCGCGCGTTCGGACACACTTGCTTTGTTTACTCTGTTTAGCGACTTTATTGGGAGGGCGTCTGCACCAGGGTTTGAAATTGAACATGGCTCTCAATCTCATTATTTTTCAAAAATTATATTTATTATTATTATTATTATTATGGAGACCGGGTCAAACTTTCCGAATATTGGTGTAGATAGGAATGTTTTTTCCTCGTGAATAAATAAAGATTATGTAAATATGATGATCATTCTCTCCTATAAAAACAAAGATGTATGAAATGGTGAATATGTAAACTTAATATTTTTTATTCAAACGGTCATATTATCGTTATTTCTGAAAGAGTCGAGATTAAGTAATCAATCAGAACTTATACGAGAAACCCAAAACTATCGATAAATAATAAATAGTCATCGTGAAACTAAAAGTTTCTGATGTGCCTGCGCCATCTTTTGGAATAAATATCAACTGAATGTTTGACCTCTTTTTTTATTATTTCAAAATATTGGTCAAATACATTTTCTTAAATCAATTTGGCCGTTTGGTCACTTGGTCAGTATTCTTTAATATAAAAAAATCATAGATTAGTTGATATTTCTTACGGTATATGGCGCAGTCCATCAGTAAGGTTTATTTACATGTTCAGGAAATGCCTTTTTTTAATTTACACTCGATCCCTGGTATATTTTATCTTTTATTTTAGTATTCCCATATAATAAATAAAATGTTGTCAAGGTATGAAATTAGGTCTGGAATATAAGAATCGACGTAATAGAATCCACTCCGTAATATATCAATATTATTTCAAGTTAATTTGCATAATTTGTTTATCTTTTCCTCCAATTTACTCAGAAGTCTTAATTAAGCTTTCTTGTATATAAATTTCATGTTTGCATTAAATATGTTTATCTTTAAAAATAATATTAATAATATTGCTTATTACTATTATTCCTGGATGTACCCTCTAATTTTTGAGCTTTGGAGAATCTGTATAAGACTAAAAGGTAGGTTTTAATAAAGCTTTTTGTTGTTGTTGTTGTATAATTTGTTTATTTTGATTAAGTTTTCCCAATGTATGGCCTGTACGTCCGAAATTTCGATACATTATAGAGTCGGCGTGTATGAAGAGTTTCTATGATAGATTCAATCTTGGAATATGTAGATTTGACCATTAAAGCTTAGCTTTCTGAAAAGATCCTTCAATCTGAAGCAGAGTTAAAGGGATGCCATCATAAAATAGTTACCTATAGTGTTAGAACATCTCTTGAAGCATTCTACACGATATGCAACACAGAACAAAAATTTGCATAGTTATTATCATATATGGTTTGAGCGAGTACCATCTTCAGTTTAGAGAAATGTTCACTTGTTGAAATTAAGTTTTTTTTTTACTTATCCCTAGTATATGTGGCACAGGCCATGATAATCATTGTGAGTAGAAGTAGACGACTACTTTCACTGTAAGTGCACCACATGTCTACACATGTGAAAATCAGTTCGACTTTTCACTTACAAATGTGCGAGAGTCCCGTTTGGTTAGCTGCACTCGCTGGTGGGGTTGGACTTTTTCAAAAATCGGAGGCCATTGGAGCATTTTTTTAAATCAGAAAAAAATTGTTCAATGCGAATATCGAACCAGGTCGTAGTAGTCGAAAACCAACGGTTTAGACCATCCTTCCACCGATCCCCGTTGAAATTAAGTGATTTTACTAATCTATTTTAAATATTGAGATGCGTGAGCTCATCCTCAGCACAGACTTCATCAAAAATCTCCACAAACTCGAGATTCTAATAGGATTGAGTGGAGATAAAGAAGACTAAAATAGGGTGAGGAGGATATTGAAACGATATAAATGAATGAATATCAGTCTAAAGGAGTATTTGCATATCACATTTCAAAGTAGAATATAAAGATGATTTAATTACCGTTTTATATTTATATCGTTGGGTTACCGTTTGTTAGAGAATAAGTGGAGCAATTATAAACAATAAAATTATTTCATTTAATCTCTTGTTGTTGTTGTTGCCTTTTCCATTTCTGAGCTCTGAACGCGTCTCTGGTGTTTCTGCGCGACGGACGATGCACCATAAACTGAGACAGATGTAAACATCATGGGGAAGGAAAGAGGAGTGCTGTTGGTCTGAAGACCTGGAAGTACCACTCAGTGTGACTTTGCTTCTTTTTGGTCTCCTGACATGGTGCCGAGTGTAGCCGTTCCTATGAAGAACAGACGCTACCAATTGATACCTTCCTACATTAGCCGGGTGTGTAGCACGGGGTGGCCCTACCAGGAGTTAAACTCCCGACGTCCTGTACTACCCGTTTACACCCTCCTGCCACTTTGAGGCTGTAGGATAGGATTTTGGTAGGAGAGATTTAATATCTTACCTGGACCATAATAGAGGATTGTGTAGGTTTATTACAACAGTTAAATCTCTTCATGTAACCTTGGTCATAGCCTTTCTCATCATCATTTAAAGTAAAATTGAGAAAAATATTATTTTTACAATGAGTTTCTGTTTTTATATACACTCATGGACAAAACTTAAAGAAGTAGAGAGTCCTTGATGTCACCGGTCTCCTGTTTTTTTTTTTTTTTTTAATGGAGTCGGAGACAATTTTGTTCACACTTGGTTATCTAGTGTGTATTCAATATAGGGCACTGTAATATTTTTCAGAGTTATTGTCTCAATCCCGATATACATGGTAAAAGGTACAACTTCCTTAAGTGTTGTTCATGAGTGTATTTGCATATATGGAACATTTCACGGCGCAGGGGCCATGCTAATCTTCTCTGTGTATCGT